CAGCTCGCTTGGCCCTGTAATGCACGTTGACAGCTGCCACTTACTGTAAGGGGTGTGAATAGGTGACTCTCTATTGAGGCACCTCTTGTGTAGAGCCAGCTCTCAGTTTCGGTTCATGAGACAGACACTATCTCTACTTTTAAGATTAGACTTCAAACTTTCCTTTTTGATAAAGCATATAGTTAGGGCTGGATCGGCTGACCCTCAATCCTACCATAGGTCTAGGCTGCTGGGGTATTCCCATGAGGAATTGAGTGTTTCTTTTTCATTCCCTATGTGTTTATACACCTCTCTCCATTTAATTATTAGTTACTATTAATCTCTGGCTCTCTTCCACAGCATTTGTCCTGTCTTTCTGTTAAAAGGGAGTTTGTCCCACTGTCGCCAAAGAGCTTGCTCATAGGGGTTAATATGATTGTTGGGGTTTTCTCTGTTTGCTTTTTATTATTGCAGGGTGTTTACCTTACAATATAAAGCGCCATGAGACAACTGTTGCTGTGATTTGGTACTGTATTAAAACAATTTATTTAATTGATTTTTTTTGTTTGGGAAAGCCCCACAGCCCATCTGTTATGATTTAATGTCTTAATGAATCCCCCAGTCGCATTGTGTTTAGTAAGAGAGTGGATTGCAAAGTCAATTAATAAGTGTTGAGTTTAGATGGCAGAATAGTTGTAGGATTGGGATCAGGCAGATTACACACTATAGTTGCAAAAGAACTAAAGACAGGAGCAGTTACCAATAGTTATGGGGGCCACGTCTAAGATAGACACAGTCAAACAGTGATCAAGTTTCACACTCTTTTATTTAGGCAGAATCAGATAAATACACATTGCTGCACAAAGTTACACTGCGGACACTAGAGTAACATTTTCTCTGGAGGGGCTTGGGCAGGCACACATATAGGTGAGGCTCTGCAACATGAGAGAGGAGAAAGTGACTGGAGGTAAAGGAGCAGTGTCACGGAATGGTGAAGACAGTGAGTGAAGAGAGGTCACTTGCAGGAGGAGTGGACTCAGGCTTCAGGATGCGAGTTTTGGCAGAGTGAGCAGCAGGCAGATCAATGATAAAGATTCCTGACCTGAGGAGGTGGTGAGTCCGAAGCGAGAAGGAGGCCAGGCAGGATATCTGTGGGTAATCCGTCCAAAGGAAATGAATGAGAGGCTGGCACAAGGGTGTCAGTGGGAGGAATGCAATCTGCAGTCATAAGGTGGTAAGTACACAATCAAAAAACACGTTAATCACAAAATCTGAGGTGTGTTGTCACCGTAGGTAGCTGAAAGAGTGGCAAAGAAGAGATGACCACTTTGGGATTAAATGCAGCCACTTTCATAACAGCTGATAAGTGGCAGGTGGGTACGAGGGGACTGCGCTCCACCCCAGAACAGATCTGGAAAAACAGGCATGATGGAAAAACATATGCTGCCCCTCCCAGTTGACCAAAAACTGGTGGCCACAGCTACAGCGACGCATATCTCTGATCCTTTGGACTATGCCGGCCGGATGACAATCAATGAGCCAGGCAGGTGGCGAGGGGTTGGACAAAGGGCAAAGAGGACTGGAGTGCTCAGGTTTAATTTGGGACACATGGAAAGTCTGTGGCTGTGGGTAATGGGCTCCACCAGGGCTGCCCTCTGTCACCGATTCTGTTCATCATTTTTATGGACAGGATTTCTAGGCGTGGCCTCAGAATCTCATCTCTGCTTTTCGCAGATGATGTGGTTCTGTTGGCTTCATCTGGTGAGGGCCTCCAGCTCGCACTGGAATGGTTCGCTGCTGAGTGTAAAGCAGCGGGAATGAGGATCAGCACCTGCAAATCTGAGGCCATGGTTCTCAGCCGGAAAAGGGTGGAGTGCCCACTCCGCGTCGGGGATGAGTTCCTGCCCCGAGTGGAGGAGTTCAAGTATCTCGGAGTCTTGTTTGCGAGTGATGGGAGAAGGGAGCCGGAGATCGACAGACGGATTGGAGCTGCAGCTGCAGTAATGCGGACGCTGCACTGGTCCGTCGTGGTGAAGAGGGAGCTGAGTGTAAAAGCGAAGCTCTCAATTTACCGGTCGATCTACGTCCCTACCCTCACCTATGGCCACGAGCTGTGGGTAGTGACCGAAAGAACGAGATCGCGGATACAAGCGGCAGAAATGCGCTTCCTCCGAAGGGTGGCTGGCCTCTCCCTTAGAGATAGGGTGAGAAGTTCGGCCATCCGGGAGGGGCTCAGAGTAGAGCCGCTGCTGCTCCACATCGAAAGGAGCCAGCTGAGGTGGTTCAGGCATCTGACAAGGATGCCTCCTGAGCACCTCCTGGGGTTGGTGTTCCGGGCATGTCCCACCGGGCGAGGCCCCGGGGCAGACCCAGGACACGCTGGAGAGATTACATCTCTCGGCTAGCCTGCGAACGCCTTGGTGTTCCCCCGGATAAGCTGGAGGAGGTGGCTGGGGAGAGGGAGGCCTGGGATTCTCTGCTTAGGCTTCTGCCCCCGCGACCCGGCCTCGGATAAAGCGGATGAACATGGATGGATGGAAAGTAGGATGAATAAAAAGAGAGGATGGAAGCTTTAGCTTGACTGCTGATGATGGTGTCAAATTCAGGCCCAATGAGAAAGAGAGGGCATTTATTCCTCACGGGGAATCTCATTCAATCCCCTGTAATAAATGCATGGACAGAGGTATCTGGCTTTTATAGCCACAAATAAAAAACAAACAGCACGTAACGGGGATGAAAACTGACAGATGTTACCAGCTGCCAGGGACTCCTGGATGTACTTCTCCATGGTGTCCCTCTCTGGCTGGTGTAACATGGGTTGTATTCAGAGGTTGAGAAGAGGCGGCAGAAACTCTCAGTTCAATTCAATTTTATTTACATAGCGCCAAATCACAACAACATTCACCTCAAGGCAGGACAGTTAAAAACTCATGATCACATTGGCACTGGGAATTCTACAATGCTTGTCCTTTAATAATTACACTTTTCACCAACCTTACAAGGCTCAGTTGAACGACTGCTGTCTTGTCATACATGAAGCAAGCAGTGTTCAAACAACACGTAATGTTACTTTGAGTTAGGGAGGTAAAAATATGAGGTCCATCTCAGTGCACCCAACCATGTGCAAGCATGTTTCTCCCACATTCTACAGTCGTGGCCAAAGGTTTTGAGAATGACACAAATATTAGTTTTCACAAAGTTTGCTGCTAAACTGCTTTTAGATCTTTGTTGCATTTGTTTCTGTGATGTACTGAAATATAATTACAAACACTTCATATGTTTCAAAGGCTTTTATTGACAATTACATAACATTTATGCAAAGAGCCGTTGGCCCTTCTTTTTCAGGACCTCTGCAATTTGACTGGGCATGCTCTCAATCAACTTCTGGGCCAAATCCTGACTGATAGCAACCCATTCTGTCATAATGTCTTCTTGGAGTTTGTCAGAATTAGTGGGTTTTTGTTTGTTCACCCGCCTCTTGAGAATTGACCACAAGTTCTCAATGGGATTAAGATCTGGGGAGTTTCCAGGCCATGTACCCAAAATTTCAGCGTTTTTTTTCCTCGAGCCACTTATTTATCGCTTTTGCCTTATGGCACAGTGCTCCATCGTGCTGGAAAATGCATTGTTCTTCACCAAACTGTTGTTTGGTGAAGAACAATGGCGGCAGAGGTAAAATATGCCTCAGCCAATGCAAGCACCTTTCCCATCAGCATGCCCACAAGATATGATGTTTTGACACCGTCATCTGGAAAAGAGCGGAGAGAATGGTCAGACACTAGGTATCATTGGAAAAGGAATCCCCAACCCCAGCCCCAGTAGAAGGGCTCAGGTGCCAGGGAGATCACATTTCTTAAAAAAGGCAAAAGAAGAAGCAATGCGGTGGAGCTCCTTTGACAGCCGATGGGGCAGCTGGCATCAGCATGTGTTATGGAAACCATAACACATGCTGCATCGGCTTTGGGCTCACAAGAGATGGACCCAAAAGCAGACAATAGCCAGACAGAAATCAATTCTCACAGTTTTTATTTAGAGCACAGATAACAACACGTAGCTGACATGAACTCATACTGGGCACACTGGAGTGTCTCTACACAGGCTCAGGCAGGGATGCACAGGGGTGAGCTACGGTGGTCGGGCAGAGTGAGCGGCAGGCAGATAAACAATGAAGTTCCCTGACCTGAGGAGGTGGTGAACTGAAGGAAGCAGAAGGGCAGGCAAGTAAAGTGTGGGTAATCCATATTTTTCAGAGGAGGTGAGTGATAGGCTGGCACGAGGCTTCAAAAAGTCACGAGGGTTTGAGTTAGAGCAGCGCAAGCTGCGACCATAAGGAGACGAGGTAAGTACCCAATCGAGGAAGTGTTAATCACAAAAACTGAGGCCATATTGTACTGTACGTAGCTGATGGACTGGCGAAGAAGAGATGGTCACGGTGGACTTAAATGCATCCCCACTTATTACAGCTGATTAGCAGCAGGTGGGTATGAGTGGACCTGGCTCTGCTCGGTAAGGGATCCACACACACCAGCTGCTCACTTGAACCATTACACCAGTATGTCTTTCCACCTGTTGTGATAGATTATTGCAAGGTCCCCGGCCAGTTCCAAAGGGCTGATAGATGGAAAAAAAAAACAGGAGGAGTGAATTAATTTAATTGAGATAAGTAATGGGGTTGTTACCATTTCTCAGTTACGCAGAGAAAGTCAAACTTGCAGTCAGTGAAGAGATGCTGGAAGAGATGCCCCTCACTTGTAAAAGAGATTATATCTAGGAGATTGAAGTTGACAGTGGTGGTACCACAATTGGCAGGATGGTCAAGAACCGCACCACTACTGAGTGCTGAGCATTGAGCGTGGAGCCAGCTATATCTGACTATATACTCTTTTATATCCATTCTGTTCACAGTCATCTCTATCCTGCACTTTGTAGACCAATGGATTGTCAGTGTATCCAACATGGATCTGATGTTTGGCTCCATGACTTCAGTCTGATTGGGTCATTCATAAGCTATTCTGTTGCAGCTGCTGGAGAACAACATCATCACTTTTGTGAAGAACGAACTGAAGAAGATCCAGAAGGTTCTCAGTTCAGACTACCCAGAATGCTTAAAGAATCAGAGGGAGGATGATGAGAAGACGAGGAGCAGCAGAGAGGCATTTCTAAAGATAACACTAAACTTCCTGAGGAGAATGAAGCAGGAAAAGCTTGCTGACCGACTGCAGAGCAGTAAGGGGGTTTCTCTAAAGATTCAAGCTACTTGATAAATGAAATGTTTACTAATGAAGATGAAAAAACTTATATACAGTCATTACTATGTGGGATGGAAATTTTTATGCCCACTTTTAAAAACATTACTTAATTGTTGATGTGTTTTTAATGTTTACTATTCAGGAATTCCTGCTTCAGTTTGTCAGCGTGAACTTAAATCTAAGATAAAGAAAAAGTTCCAGTGTGTGTTTGAGGGGATCGCTAAAGCAGGAAACCCAACCCTTTTGAATCAGATCTACACAGAGCTCTACATCACAGAGGGAAGGACTGCAGAGGTCAATGATGAACATGAGGTCAGACAGATTGAAACAGCATCCATGAAACCAGACAGACCAGAAACAACAATCAGACAAGAAGACATCTTTAAAGCCTCACCTGGAAGAGATGAACCAATCAGAACAGTGCTGACAAAAGGATGGGCTGGCATCGGGAAAACAGTCTTAACACAGAAATACACCCTGGACTGGGCTGAAGACAAAGCCAACTGGGACATCCAGTTCATATTTCCATTCACTTTCAGAGAGCTGAATGTGCTGAAAAATCAAACGTTCAGTTTGGTGGAACTTGTTCATTACTTCTTTACTGAAACCAAAGAAGCAGGAATCTGCAGCTTTGAAGACTTCCAGGTTGTGTTCATCTTTGATGGTCTGGATGAGTGTCGACTTCCTCTGGACTTCCACAAAACTGCAATCCTAACTGACCCTAGAAAGTCCACTTCAGTGGATGAGCTGCTGATAAATCTCATTATGGGGAACCTGCTTCCCTCTGCTCGCCTCTGGATAACCACACGACCTGCAGCAGCCAATCAGATTCCTCCTGGCTGTGTCGGCTTGGTCACAGAGGTCAGAGGGTTCACTGACCCACAGAAAGTGGAGTATTTCAGGAAGAGATTCAGAGATCAGGAGCAAGCCAACAGGATCATCTCCCACATCAAGACATCACGAAACCTTCACATCATGTGCCACATCCCAGTCTTCTGCTGGATCACTGCTACAGTTCTGGAGGATGTGCTGAAAACCAGAGAGGGAGGACAGCTGCCCAAGACCCTGACTGAGATGTACATCCACTTCCTGGTAGTTCAGGCCAAAGTGAAGAAGATCAAGTATGATGGAGGAGCTGAGACAGATCCACACTGGAGTCCGGAGAGCAGAAAGATGATTGAGTCTCTGGGAAAACTGGCCTTTGATCAGCTGCAGAAAGGAAACCTGATCTTCTATGAATCAGACCTGACAGAGTGTGGCATCGATATCAGAGCAGCCTCAGTGTACTCAGGAGTGTTCACACAGATCTTTAAAGAGGAGAGAGGACTGTACCGGGACAAGGTGTTCTGCTTCATCCATCTGAGTGTTCAGGAGTTTCTGGCTGCTCTTCATGTCCATCTGACCTTCATCAACTTTGGAGTCAATCTGCTTAAACAACAACAAATGATTTCCCAGAAGTCTGAAAAAGGAGAATCTGCAGAGAAACATTTCTACCAGACTGCTGTGGATAAGACCTTACAGAGTTCAAATGGACACCTGGACTTGTTCCTCCGCTTTCTTCTGGGTCTTTCGTTGGAGACCAATCAGATTCTGCTACGAGGTCTTCTGACACAGAGAGGAAGTAGCTCACAGACCAAGCAGGAAACTGTCCAGTACATCAAGAAGAAACTTAATGAGAATCTGTCTGCAGAGAAAAGCATCAATCTGTTCCACTGTCTGAATGAACTGAGTGATCGTTCTCTAGTGGATCAAATCCAACAGCATATGACATTAGGACTTCTCTCTTCACTGTCTCCTGCTCAGTGGTCAGCTCTGGTCTTCATCTTACTGTCATCAGAAAAAGATCTGGATGTGTTTGACCTGAAGAAATACTCTGCTTCAGAGGAGGCTCTTCTGAGGCTGCTGCCAGTGGTCCAAGCCTCAAACAAAGCTCTGTAAGTAAATATGACTTCAGGCTTTTATTTATAACATAAACAGTGTAACCTGTGATGGCTTAAAAACTTAAATATATTTTATTAAATGATCATCAGCACTATGTGAAGTATATTATACTTGACGTTTTATAATCAACTCCTCAAAACTAAATACAAACACAATGAAAAAAAAAACTGTGACATTTTTTATTCATACCAAAATCACATGAGATGATCCAGTGTTCTCTCTTTAGTTCCTCCTCATTTCTCCTCTGATCTTATTGCTCTGCATCAGTGCACTGCGCAGTTGAACATGAATTCACTTCTATATGTTACAGTCAGCCTCGCAAGGATGTTCCCCATTGTCTGCAGCTGCTGGCAGATTCAACCATATTCCTCATGTTTCTTGTGGTTTGCTTGTGGTTTTTCTCTCAGTCTCTCCTATGTCATGCACTTCGTGTTTGACTCTGCACAGTCTATGAACCTTGAGAAATTGTTTCAGAATTGTATCACCTGACAACAGACTGAGGACTCGTCATCACCTAAACTTCCGCTATCCACGTTTAAAAGGAGGGATATCTATCACCTTACTTCCGTGTTACCTCCGCAATGCAGTCAGTCAGGTATGGGATCAGAACGATGCCACCTTGAAATGAAACTGAAAAAATATTGAAATTAAAAAAAAAAGTAACTCAAATAAATGCACTGAAAATCAGTGCCAGCAGATTGAAACTGAAAAATGGACTGAAACTGAAAAAAAAAAATTGTAAGCGAAAACAAAAAATTACTGTTGCAATCAATCTTTTTCACTATCAATTCTTTTCACTTTCAATACAAGATTTTTCAGTACGTTTATTTCAGTTACATTTTTTTTCTGTTTCATTTTAAGGTGGCATCTTTCTAATCCTATAGTCAGCCCCCTCACTCATCACTAGGGATGGCCATGCCATGATGGCACCGGTTCTGACATAAACGGTAGTAACCAGACCGAAAAGCAGCGCACATTTCGGTGCTTTTTCTTCCTGAGCTGTGATACACTTTAGATTCTAGCCAATCATTTTACGTTTCCGAGGATAGTAGGCGGGTCCAGGTACGTACGTTCTTTTAGAGCAGAGCTACAGATTAAAAATGCCCAAGACGAAGCGGTCAAAAGTCTGGCTGTACTTCACAGCAAAAGATGCAAACTCAGCAGCCTGCAACAAGTGCTTTAAGGTGATACTGTGCAAAGGAGGTAACACCTCGAATCCGATGAAACACCTGGCGACGCATAGCGTTGTTTTTTTTTTCTTTTAAAACCCGGAAATGGGCAATATTTGATAGCTTGCTGCGAGACCTCACACCGAGCACATCTACTGCGGGTGGGTTGCCTGTTATCAGACCCGGATTTAGCAACATCCCCCAAAAACCCGAAGAGGAGAATCCTGGCCCCTAGCCCTGCCAGTGTAGCAGAAATGATGAGGATGATGATGCAGCAGCACCCGTTCTTCTCTGCGCGAGTAGCTTAATGTTGTCCGTGTGTAATTTTCGTTGAGTTGGCTAACCACGTTATTACATTAATGCATGTAAGGTGAACTAGCAAACATCATCATAGCTACATGCGGCTGTCTTCTTGTTTGATGGCAGATACTCCCTTCACCCTGGCCAAAAAGGCTAAAATGACCAAAGAAAAAGTGGAAAACAGCTAAACATGAGAGGTTTTTGGACAAAGTTTGTGTTTTTTCCATTGTTTAAGCACTGCTTCCAGCCAAGAATGATACCATATATGCCCCATAGCTGCAGAAAAGGCTAACATTGTTATCTTTTTACAAAAAAACAGCTGAACATGAGAGGTTTTTGGACCAATTTTGTGTTGTCCATTCTTTAAGCACCGGTTTGAGCACCGTTTAAGCACCGGCACCGTTTCAAAAGTACCAGTTTGGCACCGGTATCGGATAAAACCTAAACGATACCCATCCCTACTCATCACTGTAGCTCAGCTCACCTGTCCCATCGCAGTTGCAGTAGTCCAGCTTGTTAGGTTTATCAGAAACCCGTTGCTGGAACAAAGAGACAATCTACTGCAGTGGCAAACACCAGAGCGCTTTGTTTGATCTCGTGCATGAAGGAGGTGCCCGGGAGCGAGCACTGTTCCTGCTGCTTGAACCCCATCATCCTCGGTCAGCTCCCCTGTAGCACTGCCTTTTATTGTGCTTACATGAATATACATAGTTTCATTAACATCTGACATCTTAATCAGGCATGTATGTCAACAAAGGGTACCTATCTGTGTGCACGTGTAGGTATGCGTGTGTGTGTGTATGTGTGTACATGGGTATGGGTGTGTGTGTAGGTCGTTCAAGATATGACCCTGTGAATGCCTCCTCAAAAACCTTCGCCAGGAGTCCAGCAGTCCACCTAAACAAAGGGCTCTTATACTCAAACAGTTACAGATACATCCTAAAATATCACTCTGACACAGCTTTTTCACTTTGGTACTAGCCAGACCCACTAGTTTATTTATTTTTTAAATTATTTTTTATGATTCACACTGTGTGATGATGCTCCTGCTTTATGTATTCAGCAGTTTATAGCAGGGTCCTAGATGCTAACAGGCAACTAGCATACAAACAATTTGAACACATGCTAATAAAAAATTCACACTGTTAAGGGCAGATCATGCATTTTAATCCAGGAACCTTCATCTTGTGATGCAACAGTGCTGATCACTGTGCCACCATGTAGTTGTAATAATGCGGAGAAAAACCCACAAAGAAGATTTTCATGCTAGATTGAGCAAACTGACAATTTTTACCACAAAAACAAAAATGTCAGTACATGGTCTTGTCTGAGTAGACCAAAATCTGGATTTTCCAGAAAGTATTCTAATTAGAACAGAGAAAACAATGCTGTTAAATATATACTTTTATCTTGAATAGTTTTTAAGGAATTTAATGTTGGCATCAAAATTCATATTGTGAATACATATGCTGTAAGTTGGTTGATGGATATAAAATATTTAAAACACAAAGCAACAATTTCACATTACCGTGAGAAGAAAATCATAAATGGTTCAGCAGCAAGCACATAATAACTTGAGATGGAATCACCAACGACTGAAACAGGTGAATATTTAGAGGCTGCAGCAATTGCAGTATGCTATAAATGAGGATTAGAACCTTGAACCTTGAACCTTGATTATGCAGAATAATTGCTGATCTTTATATTTGGAAACTAATCTACCAGCTCCTCACCTGTTTCTGTTTAGGAGTATAATTGTTTTAATGAGCCAATTCAAAGTCTTTAATATTTTTTGTTTCTGTAATATACACTGACATTTGTTTTTCTTGTGAAGGTTCAACATACGAAATTATTTAATTTGATAACAAAGTTTTTATTTTGTTTATTTTTTAGGCTGAACATCCCTTATCTCTCAGAGACAGGCTGTGAAACTCTTTTCTCAGGCCTCAGTTCTCAGTCCTCTAGACTCAGAGAGCTGGACCTGGGTATGAACAACCTGCATGAATCAGGGATGAGGCTTCTGTCAGCTACAGTGGACAGTCCACAGTGTACACTGGAAACAATCAGGTCAGATAAAGTAATATTTTGGATTCTTTATGAATTTACACAAGTAGTCAGATTTATCCAGTGTTATTTAAGTCTTTAGTTCTTCTTCTTGTTATTGTTATTGTTGTTATCATCATTATTATTATTATTGTTACTATTATTGTTATTATTCCTAAGCTATGGTAAGCTGCCACATTTCTAACCTCTTTAACATAAAAAAACAAAGATTCATAAAAATGTTTTTTTCCCCCCAGACTGAGTCTCTGTAACCTCTCAGAGAGAAGCTATGAATCTCTGTCCTCCGTTCTCAGCTCTCAGTCCTCTACTCTAAGAAAATTGGACCTGAGTAACTCTGATCTGCAGGATTCACCAGTGAAGCTTCTGTCTGTTGGACTGAGGAGTCCACACTGTAAACTGAATACTCTGAGGTCAGTGCAAGTGATATTCTGCTTTTTGTCAATTGTCAGAATTAACCAATAATAACACATGTCTTGATGCATGCTCAATCATCAGGAACTGGGGAACTGACCTCACAGTCCATTATTAATTCAGTGTGCTAGTTTCAGTTATTGTGTAAATATACTGTTTATAAGGTTGTGGAAACATGCACTGACCTAAGACTGAAGAAATTACTTGGATGAAAACAAAATGTTTCTCCCACTGAAAATGCTACTTCCACATGAACAGAATCAATCTTTTGGGCAATAAGAATACACTACTCGAAAAAACAAAGACATAAAATAGAGAAAGATTTTTTAATCAGAATATAGCATCATCAGTTAAACATCTCCAATGGTTTTCTGATCTTTTTAGTAGCAGAGAGAGTAATTAATGAATGTCAGCTGCAGTCAGTGTCACTACTGGTAGCCTGGGGCAATACCTGGACCCTACAGAGGTTGCACACTTAGTCCAACTTATCAAGGATGTTATCAATATATGCATCACTGGAAGGTTTTGAGTGTCTCCCAGAACAATCTCGACAGCATGGAGGAGATTCCAGCGAACAGTCAGTTACTCTAAGAGAGCTGGACAGGGCTGTATAGCTGAATGGGTATCTGCTCCTTTGTGTAAACAAGATGAACACAGCCAGAGCAAAACAATTAGAAACATGTATAATGAGGGTAGTCTGAGGGCACAACATCCTCTTGTGGGTCCTGAATCCACTGCCTGCTATGTGGACCTGGATTGGCATTTACCATAGAATACCATAACTGATCCACAACTATACTGAGAACCTTTTTTAAAAATGTTGTTTGTATTTTATGGAGCAGTGCATTTTACCTAGTAAATGTCAATGTTATTCATTTGTTGTTGTACCTTGTTTAGGAAGTAAGGATTACTGGAAAAAAAACACCATTAAATATTCTAAATCTAATAACTCTTCAGTGCACCCCCACTGCATTTTATCAAACGTGTTTGTTTAATATTGTATCTTTCATTTTTCAGACTGAGTCACTGTAAGTTCTCAGAGAGAGGCTATGAAGCTCTGTTCTCAGCTCTCAGCTCTCAGTCCTCTAGTCTGAGAGAGCTGGACCTGAGTAACTCTGACATGCAGGATTCAGCAGTCAATCTTCTGTCTGCTGGACTGAGGAGTCCACAATGCAAAATGGAAACTCTCAGGTCAGAATTAAAACATTTCCACTGATGATCATTTAAAACCGGATTTATATTGCTGCATAAAGAGTAACTTGATAAAAATTTCTTAACATAAATAGTAAGTTGAAACCACAATCAATCTCCATCGCACCAGCATCATCAGCTTCATGTTCAAGAGCCTGGATGGATAGTGATTCTTTCTATGGTGGGACATTAAGAGCAGAAGTAAAACAGAAATGAGAAATGAGAGACTCTATGAATCTGCAAATGACAAAATATAAATGAGGATTAGGATCCAGCAATGATTATTGAAGTCATTGAGTCACTGATGGAACATTTCTGGTTATATAAACTGAAAACAGAATGAACCATAATAGAATGAACCATAATAGAAGGTGAAATGTCAGCTACCCAAAGGCAAAGGTATTCAGTTTAATTTTTAAAATGGAAGATGGAACAACACTTTAAGCTACTGGACTAATTCAACATATCATGTTCTCCTCGTAGAACCTGGATACATAAGCCCCTTTTCCATTAGTATCTACTCGGATCGACTTACCACAAATCAATTCAGATGAACTGATTTTCCATTGCAATCGTACTATCTATCAAGCCAAGTCAAGTCAAGTTGGTAGCAGGCAGTAGGTAGGGACACTGTTGGGCCTTCTTAATTATGGAGCTGGTATTGAGGAACCACGAGAGGTTCTCTCTCAGGTGGACACCAAGGAATTTGGTGCTCTTAACGACCTCTACAGAGGATTCAGTGGACAGCGATCACTCTTCTGAAGTTGACAACTCATCTCTTTTGTTTTGTCCATGTTAAGAGAAAGATGTCTCCGCTGTCCTGGAAGTGGCTTTGGATTCTTCTGCCATGAACATGTTTGCTGCTCTGACAAAAAATGACAATAAACATTCCATCGGGGTGCGATTTCTACAGCTTGCTGATTGCTCCTTACTGCTCCCAGAGTGCCTCTTTAGTGCTAGCACTGGGTGGGATGTACACTGCTATAACAAGCACAGCAGTGAATTCCTAAAGTAAATAAAAAAAGGTCTGCATCTAACATTCATAAACTCGGTGAGCAGTAATTAGAAACTAACACAGATTTCTTGCACCATTTCATGTTGATGTGGGCACAAAAGCCACCACCACGAGTCTTACCACACAGAGCTGCATTTCTGTTGGTAGAAAGTGAGGTGAGCTTGTGTAGCTGAATGGTTGTGTCCAGAACTCTGTCACTAAGCCATGTTTCTGTAAAAACAAAGATGCAACAGTCCCTAAATTCCCGCTGTTTGGTCCACTGGAGTCAGATGTATTCCAGTTTATTGTCCAGTGAGCAAATGTTTGAGAGCAGGATGAATGGGACAGCTGGCCGTCTTGGATTTGCTCTTACCATAGCACAGACCCCTGCATGTTTATTGTGCTTCTGCTTCCTCGCACACTGCTTTTGGTGACCTGTCCCCCGGCCACCAGCATCAGGTGATGACGAAGACTGGAGGCCTGGGCTTTGCAGTAACTTGAGGCACTTGCAGCAGTTCCTGGTCAATATTTGTATAATGCTTCTAATTTAGGAGTGTTTGCCATTGGTAAAACTGAACACTGCTTGTTCTGGTGTTCAGAGTGGCTCAGAATTTAGGATTATAAGGTGACAGAAAAAATACTAAAACAGCACCATTCTGGTCCAGAGTGGCCACTGCCTGCAGTTGCTACACCACTGATGACGGGGTGAAATTCTGCCAAATGTCATGCATCACCCAAATATCATGCATGGTTGTTGTCATACCAATCCATCCAAGCTTCTATAGACGTAAGACACACGAGACACAACCGCTACAACAAAGATGGACATTGAGTCAAGAATATACCTGCTGCTCTGTCTGTGGCTTTTTGTCAGACTGAGGGAACAAGGCCTTGGTTTTTGAAGCCATTTTGATTGCTGCTGGATTTCACTGATTTGATTTCCACTTTTTGTTAGTTAGCGTGTGCACGGGTGTCAGAACTGAATGTAGTGTGTAACATGTAGTACAGGGTGGGCCATTTATATGGATACACCGTAATAACATGGGAATGGTTGGTGAGATAAAAGTTCTGTTTGTGGCACATTAGTATATGTGAGGAGGCAAACTCCTCAAGATGGGTGGTGGTAACCATGGTGGCCATCTTGGATACAACTTGTTTTTTTCAATAGCAAGAGGGCCATGTGACTAATCAAACTTATTGGTAATGTCACAAGAAAAACAATGGAGTGCTTGGTTTCAACGTAACTTTAACTTTCTTTCATGAGTTATTTCATGAGTTTCTCTGTGTTCACAGCCATTGACATGTCAAAGAGGTTAACATGTGAGGAGCGGATCAAAAATGTGTTGATATCTGGTGAACGCAGTAACCGGGTCATTGCAGCAGATTTCAATGCAAGACACCCTACGAGACCACCCATCTCCCATGCTACAGTTAGCAAACT